AGCAAAAGATTTTTCCAACGAGAATATGAGCAGATGTTACTCTTTCTTAAGCACCTATTATTATACAATGAATGTTATTTTACTGAATGAAATATTTTACTGCCCGCTCTATACACACCATATAATTTAATCTGCCTATCACCTACTGGAAGCAAGTATCATCCTCCCCATTTTACAAGTGAAGAAACTGAGTTGGAAAGGTTATATAACTGGTCCAAAAGTAGAGGAAATGTTGGAACTTTTAGCCATTAAACATGCAGATGTGAAAACAATGCCCCAAACTTCCACTAAACAAAATTCATGTAAACCTGGAGAAAATGATGTGTGAGCAGTACCCTGAATAACATAACATTCCAGCCCAGGAGTTGGCAAATTACAGCCCATGGACCAAATCCAGTTCACCATCTGTTTTTGTATGCCCCACAAACTAAGAATATTTTTTTATATTGTTAAATGGTTGAAAGAAAAACCAAAAGAAGACTATTTCACAACACATAAAAATTAAATGAAATTCAAGTTTTTGTATCCATAAATAAAGTTTTATTGGAACACAGCCATGCTTATTCATTTGCATGGTATCTTATGGCTGCATTTACACTTTAGTGGAAGAGTTGAGTACTTGCGAAAGAGAGACCTTATAGCTTGCAAAGCCTGAAATACTTACTATTTGCTTTTTTTACAGAAGAATTTTGCCGACCCCTGTCCTAGCCAACAGCCTCCTTTTTGGAAACATCTCATGCAATAAAGCCTGGACTATCACACTGACCAGAGCATAAATCAGTGTTCCCCAAATTTTCATTAAAGGTGTAACACCAGCAGATGTGCCCCGAATACATGAATCTGTGACTGTGCTAAGATAAATTTGACATCAATTATTCACTTTCCATAAGGATTCACTATAAGATGTGATTTCTCAGTGATTTTCATTAGAGTACTTCAGACAGGATTTGATTTACCAAACCTGATTTCATTCACTCTTTCATGAAATACACATTAGGTAAAATAAGGTACACCTGTTTTCCAACCTCAGTCCAATACAAATCTATCTTGAATGTCATCCAAGGGAGGTTAATTTTCAAAGGACCAGAGGGACCTCATTATAACCACTGCTACTTCTGCCCCAGACACCCCACAGCAAAAACTTCCATGAGCAGCTTTCCACCCAGGTCCCAGCATACTCAGGCAGAGTGAAGTTAGCAAATCAGGAATTGGCTTCAGCCGGCTCTGAAAACAATGAGGTTCTGGGGAAAAGTATCAGCAGAGGAAATAAAATTGTCAGTGGGCCTTTTTACAGAAATAAAAGGATATGAGGTGGGTGAGACAATATAGAGGATAAAATTTAAGATACTCAAAATATCCCATTTCAAGGCCAGAGGAGACCTAAGACTGTTTTAGGGACACTTCAAGTATTCCTTTTGCTTAACACATGGAACTTGATGATAAGTATTCATTCTAGAACACTGAGCAAAGAAAAGTTTACCCATTAACTAATACAAATACAAAATAAATCCATGGACTCATGGGCCAAGATTGGCATATAAGATTAGTCCCTAGAGGGTTTTTTTTTTAATGTTTTTATTTATTTTTGAGAGAGAGACACAGAATGCAAGCAGGGGAGGGGCAGAGACAGAGGGAGACACAGAATCTGAAGCAGGCTCCAGGCTCTGAGCCATCAGCGCAGAGCCCAATATGGATGGGGCTTGAACTCACAAACTATGAGATCATGGCCTAAGCCGAAGTTGGACGCTTAACCAACTGAGCCACCAAGGTGCCCCAGTCCCTAGAGCGTTCTTAAATGAGAATAAGTTGCTTTGGGAAAATAAAATGCATCAGATTTTCAAATGGGTTCCTGGTTGAGTTTCGTTATTATGACTCAGGATGACGTCCTCAATATATTTTTTGTATGTTAGAATTTCCTTGACCACCCTATTTAAAATTACAGTTTCTCCTAGTCACTCTTACTCCCTCTCTTGCCTTATTTTTCTCCCTAGCACCCATCACCATCTGACAACCTATATGTTGTAGTTATCCATTTGCTTATAATCTATCTCCTCCTTCTAGAATGTGAGCTCCATAACAGCAAGAATATTTTCTGTTTTGTCTATTGAATTCTCAGCCCAGTGTCTGACCCGCTATATGTACTCAAAAAGTATTCCTGAAGGAATAAAATAATTTAAAGGGGGGTTCTTATCAAAATGCCAGAATGAATCCCCTTGATTTTCTGAAGTACCTGATGGAATGCTCACTTTCTCTCAAATGGTAGGAATGCTAAGATGATCTCTAGATCTTTGAATTATTAAAGACTAATTTACTTTCTCTCTGGCTACAATGTTTGCTTGCTTTATGCTACCAGCCAGAACCAAACAAATGACCAATGTTCAAAAAGTCAAGCACCTGACACTTCGTAGGAACTTGACACATGCATGTGACTATCTGAATTACTGAATGAATAAATAAATGAATGAAACAGATGATAAGCAAATGAACTGGCATGCATTGGTAACTGATGACCAGCAAGAAGGTTCATTCTGCAAATTTAAATATTTAGTTTCCTTGATATTACTCCTTCCAGGTTCTCCTTGACCCCTTCTGATCTTTCCTTTGGTATCCTTTCTATAAAGATTATTTTCCTTTCCCTTTCCTTTAAATGAGGACATACTCTGTGGTTGCAAAATATGCTAGTATTTCACATGTTTTTCCACATCAAGTAACACTTAAAAGATGATGACATTTTTACAGCATATGGACAGGGGAATGAGAAAGATGCTTGTGGTTCAAGGTTTCTGGGCCTGAGATTCTGATGGCCCCAGCCCTGCTCCGTGATTCCAGGACACCCAGCAGTAGCCCCAAAGTTAAATGAATCAACATGTTTGTATATATATCTATGAGACCTATCCAAGGCACACCACAAATACTGTGTCACAGCAACTGGGAAGCTATGTTCTCATCTTTTTCTACATCTCTCTGGTCAATCCTATTCACTCGCATTTTTAATCATCACCTAGAGACCAGTAACTCCCATATGTAACCTTCTTCTCCTAATATCCACCTCTTTCTTAACTCCCAGAATCCAGAATCACACAGACCACCAACGATTGGATACACTGTCAGAGTGTTCCACACCTGACTACATTCTCTATTTAAAGCACACTTCCTACCAGATTTCTCTCTCCTAGTGGCAATTAAGCCTGCGATCCAAACTAGAAACCTGGGAGTCATCTTTAGTCATTTCTCATCCTCCATATCCAACAATCTCCAGGACAGCCAAGCCACCCTCACTCTACATCAGCTGCCTCTCCTTTACTTCAACAAGCCCAGGTTACCTTTCACCTGAATTATGCAAGTCTCCTAATGTGTCTTACCTCTCCTCAACTATCCCTTCCAATCTGCTGATGGGCAGGATGGGCTGTCCTGGCTCATGAGACTTGTGCTCTTCTCTTCCCAACTCTGGTTCAGTGGCTTCAAATTAGCAGCTTAAAATCTACCATGGTGGGAGTATTTACATCATGGAAATTGGCAAATGCTATCATCAAGACTTTTTTTTTTAATTTTTTTTTAATGTTTATTTTTGAGAGACAGAGACACACACACACAGAGTATGAGCAAGGGAGGAGCAGAGAGAGGAAGACACAGAATCTGAAGGAAGCTCCAGGCTCTGAGCTGTCAGCACAGAGCCTAACGCGGGACTCGAACCCAGGAACCATGAGTACATGACCTGAGCCGAAGTCGGACGCTTAACTGACTGAACCACCCAGGCACCCCAAGATTTTTGTTTTCAAACAGGCAGTTGTTAAACATTTACTGGCATATCATTGCCTAAATGTATCCTCTACAGAGAATCATTTATTGGAAACCCATGCCACACTTTGTTTAAACAGTCTTGTGATTCCTAATTTCTTATAAGATCAATCCAAGTTGTTAAAAGGTCATAGGAAGGCCCTCAAAGAGATCTACTGTCTCCCCCTATAGTCTTACCTGTTAATATCCCCCCTCCTTGACAGATGCCTTTGGCAACATTAAATTGCTTATAATCTCTCATATATCATGCTATTTTAAACTGCATGATTTTGCATAAACTATCCCGGAAGCTTGGATATCTCTTCCCTTGGATTACCTTCCTTACTACGACTATCTCTTTACTCATAGTTTACCGTACAGACAGTAGTTTCTGCACAAATTCTTTCCTGATCACTCCTAAGCTATGATAACAATTCTCTTCTAGGCACTGCGAGTTCCCTCTTAAAATCTCTATCACTGCATTTACTACATTCTATTGTGAGTCTCTATCTCCCCTCCCCTACCTCCTGGAAAGACACTGGGAAATTCTTGACAGCAAGGAGTATGTATATTCATCTTTGCACCCCGAGTTCCCAAACAGTAACTCACAGATATTTTAAGCTCAACCTATATTTACTGTATGTATAGGTAAATGGATAAATAAAAGAATAAATACTAGGTATGACTATAGTAATTTATAACACTTTGAATTATACTGAAACTGGAATTCATGCTTTCTAGTTTACTAACTGATATTCATTAATTATGTGGATGTAGGGGCTGTTAGATTTTAGCCACACTCATACTAAATGTGCTTGCTGGAGGCTATTACAAATATGCTCCTATGAAGATCATTCCCTTTTCTATATTGATCTATTTTCTATGCATCTGCCTTGACTATAGCAGACCTCCAAATAAACTGGCCACTCATTTACAATTAGAAAATGTGTATGATATTATCTGGAGAGTGGGAAAGTCGGGCAGGAGGCTTAAATAGACAGAAGGGTATTGGTAAACTTATGATTACCAGGGTCAACAGTATTTGTTTTCTTCCTTCCTAATAGCCAATTACTAAGAGGACTCTGTTTTAAAATGCATTATACAATATTGTCTCCAACAGGTTTTTAGAATGGTTTTCTCTTCTGTTATTTTTACATTAAAATGCAGTGAGACTCCTGTACATTAAGTACTACTGTGAGTTTTGAAATACTGTACTCTGGTTAGCAGGGGAGGTAAAACATTTATTACAGAGAGACAACATTTCTTGAATAACGTTGTCAAAGAGGAGAGATGAGAGCTTCCTGAGCTGCAGCTCAACCAGCAGTAGCTAAGACATTTAACGATATTCTTTTCCTAAAATAAATAAATAAATACATAAACACATAAATAAGGCTTTTAGGAGATTTTGCAATAACAAAAAGAGCTTTCTTTTTTGTATCTTTCTTTTACTTAAAGGTCCCAAAGAAAGTACTAAAAGTAGTAATTCCATGGGTACGTGTTAGATATATTTATTAATATGGTATTTAAGTATTTGAGAGAATATTAGTACATGATAATGCAACTAAGCTCAAGGCCACAGAGAGAAGCCACTAATTAAATTTAGAATTGATAGGAGTTGGCCAATGTCAAGGAACAGTCATTGAGAGTATTTCGAAAAAGTCTGATGAAAGATTTTCTCTATCCACCCCCACACCACCACCACCACCAACAGTACCAGTAACCATCTGTATACCCACAGATATACCAAAAAGGTGACATTTTATTGCAAGCTTAACATTTTCTGAATCTGTCTAAAACCACAAAAATTATGCTGAACTCCCCAAAAGAAATGAAGTTGTTTTTACTTTTTCTTCATCTCTTTTTGCCTGACTAGTAACAGGAAGTTCTTGGAAACTTCCCAGAGAATGGCTGGTCTTGTAAGAGTCCCAAACCAATCTTGTAGGCGCCAGAGTCTTGGCACATTTGAGGTGAGGGCTTTAGAAGCACCTGCATTGCCCCTTTCAACCAAACTTGCCATCACTAAGCTCAAGAAGTTCCCCTTGTTGTTATTAGTCATGGGTCTGAGTTGGGGGGAGGGAGTCATGCAGAAAGGTACAAAGCTTACCCCAGCCAAATTTATACATTGATCATATAAGAAAATGTAGAAAATGCCTATTAAGTCTCTTCAACTTTGGAGTCAAACTGGACCCTTACTTGAACCCTGAGGTCAAGCTACAATATGTTCCCTATTCAGAATCTATCCTCTTGACAAATAAAATGTACAGAAGGAGGGAAAATTCATGGCATGGCACTTCATTATTTGTTATGAACAGATCCTTTTTTCACCTTGGAGCTCCTCAAGAATGATTTGTGAGGCAGCTCACTTCCATTCCTGCTTCAGACTACACCAAGCAACCTTAAACCTTTGGGTCTATTCCTTCTCCTTCTCCATTCTGTGGTTAGAATTCTGAAGGAGTTGGAGACAGCACAAGAACAACAGTGATTACTTGCAGGAATACCTCCCCCACTGCCTGGAGCTCAATGGGCTCTACCTGGTATTGTTCTGGACCTGCAGCTACACCAGGAAAATCACCAGACAGTGTGAGGGTTGCTAAGAGAAAAGAGACCCTCTAAAGTCATTGCAGGGGTTGTGATAGCCATAAAGATCAGGTAATTCACTGCATTCAAGGAAGGGAAGGGGCTTTGGCCACATCGTGGTTGAGAGATTTTTGTTCTGCTCTTCTTTTTCTTCCTCCTGTTAGTTCCCTTAACTTCCCAGTCCCAACAGCAGCTGAAATTCTAAGGATGTAACTCCTCTCATTACACAAATGCATGGCTTTCCATGAAAGTACCCTCAGCCCACAAAATGGAGTCCTAATTCAAGCCATCAAAGTCTGCAGACCCATCATTAAATATTTTTCTGATTTAAAGTCCATGGCTCTTTGGAACAAACATGCTCCTAGAAAAACATTATCAAATAATAGCTATAATTTCACATTAGTATAAATTAGTAAACTGATCAGTAGCTAATAAGACGTAACAATTATTGAGAGTTTATTTTGTGCCCAGGATTGTTTGAACTACTTTAGATGCAGTAGCTCATTGAATACTTAACAAAATCCTTTGTGTGGCAGTCATGGTTGTTGCTTTCCGAATTCTAAGTGATTATCTTAAGATACTCATTGCAATGCAATTCCTCTTTTCAGTGTTGATTTTGGCATGGGCATGTGACCAAAGACTATCTAATAAAATATGAAAGGAAGACTGGGGAGGGGCTTTTAGAAATGATTTCTTACTCCTAAAAAGCATGTGCAAGAAAGAGACACCCTTTCTTCTGAGATCACATCAATATCCCTGGGTGTGATATCTGGACTTAATGCAAGCCACACTGCCACCATAAGATGGACCAGGGGAGAGAAAGAAAAAAAAAATCTGAGTCCTGAGGGGCACTGCTGAGCCACTGATCATACTTCGCCAGAACCAAACTATCTCTCTGACTTCCACTTGTGTGAGATAATAAATTTCATTACTGTGTAGGCCAACATAAATTGGGGTTTCCTGTCAACTTTCAGCACAAGGCATCCCAACTGACACATATTGTACTTGATAAAACTGTCTTCTCTATTCTACAGGTGAAGAAACTGAGGCTCATAAAGATAGAGTAAGTTTCCATGTCTCCCAAACTATACAATTTTGAAGCAGTGATTTGAACTAAGCATACAGACTTCCAAACTCATACTCAAACCACCATGCCATGCTTTAAAAATATTACAGAAAAATAGTGTTAAAGGAAACAGTGGTCTGAGATAGGTTCCATGGGTAAATTAGAACAATATCAGGAGATTTTAGGGCGCTCTGACCCACTGAGGCTCTGGGGTAATCAGATTGTTTGGTGCTCTTTTGAGAGTCCTATAAAGTTGTTTCAATAATTCAGTGCAGAAGTCAGTCCCTAAACCTAGCAGGCAGTTTTCCAAAGGCTTACAGCTCCCTGCTTTAGAGTGAAGCAGACAGACATGTAGAGAATTGACTATGAAAAAAAAGCATTTTTAAGAGAATAGCTATAGGGGCCTGGGTGGCTCAGTTGGTTGAGCGTCTGACTTCGGCTCAGGTCACAATTTCGCAGCTGATGAGTTCGAACCCTTCGTGAGGCTCGGTGCTGAAGGCTCAGAGCCTGGAGCCTGCTTCAGAGTCTGTGTCTCCCTCTCTCTGACCCTTCCCCACTCATGCTCAGTCTCTCTCTGTCACAAAAAATAAACATTAAAAAAAAAGAAAAAGAAAAAGATAATAGCAATTGTATTGTTTTGGGGTGCCTGGGTGGTTCAGTCAGTTGAGCATCCAACTCTTGATTTGGACTCATGTCATGATCTCAGAGTCATGGGATCAAGCCCCACTTTGGGCTCAGTGCTAACCATGAAACCTGCTTAAGATTCTTTCTATCTCTCTCTCTCCCTCTCTCTCTCTCCCTCTGCCCCTCTCCCCTGCTCACTCACTCTCTCTAAAACAAAATTTCTTTAATTAAATAAAATAACTTTCCCTAAGGGCATAGCAAAGAGTAATTAATTCCAACAGAAAATGAATCTCTTCAGCCATTTTCCTCTTTCACGGTTCAGGCTAGTGAACAATCTCCCTCTCTGCCATTTCTCTGTCACTTAATTGCACGTACAATGAAGGCTGCTGATCTTTTATTTCTTCCCCATCAGCCTTGTTCAAGCCAATCATCTCCAAAGATGAGGAAACACAGCATCTTATTAAGGCTCCTGGAGAAGGAATGAAGTGCATCTCCTTCAATCAACTGGTGGTTTGTCTAGTATCTCTGACCATGAAACTGTAAGCAGATTGGTGCTGAAAGCAACATCTATCCTCATTTATTAATCAACCATTTAAATAAACTCTCCATCCTGGTGTTCAAGATCTTCCTCTCTATACAGGCATATATCTTTCAAGGTCATGAACTTAATATTGAAATTTTACCTATAAATGCCACAGATTTGTCACTGATTGTTTATTCATAGGGCATCTGTCCCCAAAGTAGTCAGGCTTCTCACAGCTACCAGACCAGACAGTATAGACCTGGTAGGACCCTGATGACAACCATGCAATTGTCTCCCTGACAGAATTATACAAGAATGACCCCAAGTATAACATCATTAAACATAGTAAGGAATTATATTTTTTGTGGGGCAACGTGAGGCAATGGCTAACTGATAAACCCTTGCCTACCCATATATAATTGTTTTCTGTTAATTCCCAGTGTGTTAAATACTCATTTCCACAAGTGCCTAATTGGACTCCAAAGGAAAAATTAGAGTTTTATAGATGTTTGTTACAAAAAAAGGTTTACTTCAAATTACTATTAAAAATGATACTTACTCTCATTTTAGAAGCATCCCTGCCTGAAAGGAAAAGATGAGCTAGCCACATTGTAGCCCTAAACCTGAGTCTATAAAGCAACTTTTCTCATAAATGGTCATTGAGAAGAATTTCTTCCCACATTATATGTCAAAGAGCTTTTTAAAGAACTGTTCCAAGTGAGAACATTTAGAAATGCACATGCCCACATCGTAGGAAAGCCATCAACACTCTTGCAGAGCCATATGCTTGCCCTCGAGGGACCCAAAACTATTCCATTATACCAGAAAGTCTGTGGAATGTAAATCCAGGGGCCTGAAATGCTGTATATTTTTCAAAAAGTACAAAGTGGAAGCCATTGAGTCCATGGATTCACCAAATGAATGGATTGTTTCATCTGCACAAATGAACTGTCAGAAACAATGGCCACATAACGCATTTGCTCCTGTTCCCCAAAGAGGGAAAAAAACATACCCCAAATAAAGCTACATCTTTTTATAAAACTTCAGCCAAAAGCACAAGAAAAAGAAAGGTTGATTTATACTCTAGAATCTGGATGCCTGAATTCAGACAGCATGGGCTACAAATATGCAGCTCATGTTTTTCTTAATACTTACAAGGTATCTGCTCTCTGCCTTCAGAATGCAAATGGGCTCTACATCCACGCTTATTTGAACAAATTTGCAAAAGCACTTCTTATATTTTGTCTAGTTTTATCTTATCACACTTTTTAAGTTCCTTTCTCCAAATTTTTTACCCCTAATACTTTGAGACAACTTCACCTTCCACTTTTACCCTCTCTCTTATTTTTAGATATGATCTTTCATTATGAAATATTCAAGATACACAGAAAGTTATTACAAATAATCTAAGAAACATCATTTGTCTTTACTTACCATTTTTTTCAAATATTGGCATTTTTTTGAATTGGCCCAAATTTCTTTTAAGAAATTATTCTAAAATTGATGCTTCTTATCCATCAATCTCCAAAATTATTACACTTCTCCCTTTTATTAATGATCTATTCTCCTGAGGTCACCAATGTCCAAAATTTTGTATTTATGATTATTTCCTTCATATATACAGTACATAATATTATATAGCATTTTTTAAATAGTATGATACAGTACATATCTTTATGCAACTTGTTTCATTGGTTGTTTATGCAAAACATTCTTTTGAGCCTCATCAATATGTTACATGTGGCCCTGAGTTTTTCATTATAACCATATAGTACCCCGTGTATAAAAATGAGACACTTTGTCTGATTTCTTTCTGATGGTCATTGTGTACCTTTTCCGTCATTGTTTTCTGTCTTTCATCTATGATAACTTAGGACTTTTATGGACTGGATGTAGTGCCTCCTCTTTGAAAGGCCATCCCTTTCATCTTAGGCAGCAACAGAATATCTTTTGCCCCTGTCCGTTTTGGCCAATTACTCGTGTTTTTGTTTCCTTCTGGTTTACATGCATACTGTGTTATGAATGAGTCTTGGACTCTTATCCTCCTTTCCAAGCATTATATGTTTAGGCATATAGCTGTAGGACTAACAGGAATATCAGAAGTCATAAACTTCTTTTCATAAAGTATGACATTAGCAAGGGGACAGGAATAACTTGCTGCGGGTCGCACAACTGCTTAGTGAAGAGAAGAGCCGGGGACCCAGGTGTCCTGGATCTCTGTCCTTTCTTTTTTCCAGTACACCAAAACTGTGGCTCACCCACTCAACTGAACATCATTTGTTGTGTTATCAGTGGTTTCTCAACAGGACCAGGACATCTTACATCCTTCCCATCAGAGCAAACTAGACACTATGGGAATATACAAAAAGGGCTCATGCCTTCAGGGCCATTAAGGTGTACACACAGACCTGGAGCACCTGGGTGTCTCAGTCAGTTAAGTGTCCGACTCCTGGTTTCAGCTCAGGTCACAATCTCACAGTTCATGGGTTCAAGCCTGCACTGGACTCCATGCTGACAGCATGGAGCCTGCCTGGGATTCTCTTTCTCTGCCCCTCACCTACTCTGTCTCTTAAAATAAATAAACTTAAAAAAAAATTTTTTTTAAACTGTACACAACAAGACTAAAGACAAATGAAAACATTACAGGCAACTAAATGAACCTAGGTCTGATTAAGTTTCAATAGTGAAGGCAGTAATTTATCAATCTGTATATATATATATATATATATATACACACACACACACACACACACACACACACATACATATACATATATATATATATTTTTTTTATGAACCACTGAGAGTAAGTTGGAGACATCAAAACACTTTACTATATAGTATATCCTTGTGTATTTCTTAGGAACAAGGACATTCTCTTACATAGCTACAAAATTATCAAAACCCATTTTAGCATTGATACAATGCTTATATCTAATCCACAATCTATGTTAAAATGTTCCCAAAAGTCCTAATGATGTTCTTTACAGCTTTCCTCCCCTCTACCCAAGTATAGGATCCAACCAACTCAGGTCATACATAAAACTGTATAATTTATAAGAAAAAAAATTTTTTTTCTGAGCTGTTTTTGATTCACCCATTTGTATAACAGTTACTGAAGATCTGTAGAGAGAGATCTCTGCTCTCCACAGACTCAAGCCACATGGTGGAGGATGGATGAGGTAACATCTCATTTTTAATAGATTATTACCAGCACCGAGACAGAGATAATCACCAGATGCTACACTGTGAAGAACCTTCTAGGAAGAGGTTACCCTGAAGCTTGGATTTCAAGGAGTAGAAGAGAGTGGTAACAGTTTTCCTGGCCAAAGTGGCATATGCTAAAACAAAATGAATCATAGCCTATTTAGAGGAGAGCAAGGAGCTCAGTAGTTCAACAGAGTAGGGGCTATGTGTATATATGTGGGTATATGTGTGTGGCAACACCTGTGTGTGTGTGTGTGTGTGTGTGTGTGTGTGTGTGTGTGTGTGTTTGGCAAGATTTGGTGTTCAGTGGAAATGGAACTAGGTATAGGCTACATCATAATAGACCTTATATGTCACAGCGAAATGTGATCCTGAAAACAATGGATAATTGTTGGAGAAATTTAAGCAGGGGGCCAATAAGATATAATTTGATTTCCCTTGTCTAAAAGATCAGTCTGGCTGCAGCACTATACATGAGCATTGTATCAACAGAAGTAATAAATAAGAGCTTGAACTAGACCAATAATACTACTGCATGGATTAAAATATTTTAAAGAAGGACAGTGGGTAGAACTTACAAACTGATGGATGGGAGATGGTGGCTGGCGGTGAGAGGGAAGAGACGGTCCAGAAAGAGTTCTCTGAGTCCCAGAATGGGTCTGGACTCATTCTACAAAGAAACACAGATAAAGTCTATGATTTCAGGCCATTGGAGCTTATTCTCCTAATAGTTTCTCTATACTCTTTGGAAACATGGAAAAAGTACATATTCCTGAGTCCTGCCCACACAGTTCCCTGATTCTTGCACACAGGCCTCCTTGTCTTCTAGAGGAGACTTGGTCTGGTCTTAGTCCATGCTCCCTGGGTGATCTGGCCATTTTCCTTCTTGCAGCTATTTCGCCATGCCTCTTAACGTAAGTAAGTAGTGCACCACCTTCCTTTCATTACTGCTCAGGTCTCATGCATCATTCTGCCACCTACTGCTGCTCAACTTTATAAATAATGTGCCCATAAATGTTCCATATTTGGTGTACAATATTGCTTAGGGTGCTTATCCTTCCCCATCTGCAAACCAATATGCCCTTTTTGAATGCATTTCTTAGCCAACAGCTTAAAGATCTGCAAGTCCCTTATTAAGTTCAGCAATGTGCTCATCTATTCAACACCATTTCTATGCCTCAAGGCTGTAATGATGCATCTTCCCTCTTAAGTCAGTTGGTTTTGCTTCTCAATCTTCGAATCTTCCCCAATAACATCAGCTTAGGTAAATTTATCTTCTTCTCTCGTCTTTATTATTGAGAAGAATATTATCATCTGTCTAATTTCCAAATACAAGTTTACAAGTTTAACACTATGTTATGGAGGTGGGAAAGGACAAGATGTCCAAAGAAGATGAAATGGAGTTAAGAATCCATCTTCAATCTTTTCTGCTAATACATATGTATGTTTCTTTAAATCTCAGCAGATTTCCTTCTGTCTTTCCACTTTTATTTTCATGTAGGCTATGTCTCCAGATTTCTTTCTTTCTTATTCTTAGTATCACTAACATCTAGCATATCTAACTTCTGACTGGGCTCTCAAAACCATTTATTTTTGTTCACTAAATGCCCAGTTCTACTGATTATTTCAAATTATCTTGTTTTCCTTTTGAGAAAGATGATGCTTTTTTAAGAAAGTTTTATTTATTTTGGGGGAGATAGTGAGCACTAGTGAGTGGGGGAGGGGCAGAGAGAGAGACTCCCAAGCAGGCCCTGCACTGATAGTGCAGCGCCTGACACAGGGCTTGAACTCCCAAACCGTGAAATCATGATCTGAGCTGAAACCAAGAGTTAGATGCTTAACCAACTGAGACACCCAGGCGCCCCAGAAGATGATGCTTGATGAAGAGAAAATAGAAATGATAGGGATGCTTGTCCGAAGGATCATTTTTAGAAAATGAAGGTGGTATCTTGTTCTCTGCCTTCTGTGTGAATCAGTCTTCGTAGGGGCTATCTTCCAATGTACCACTTACTAGCCTGAATAGATGATAGCATTACTGAGATGCACTGGATAAGTCCCTTCTTTCTTCTACATCCTACCACACTACCACATTCCATAACTCCTCTTAGTTTCCACTGACCCTTCTATTTCAAAATATTTTCCTCGCGTATTCCTTGAGGTCTTCCTAGACACCTTTCCTCGATGGCAAAGCATGGTTGGTAAATCTTCACTATGTTTGTTACTTCTTTCTCCATATCCTTCCCATTTCAGTATGATAGTAGAGATGAAAATAAATAGGCCTCTACACCAAAAAGTACTGATTAACATTGTTCCTGACTCCTTACTATTTCATTCCTGTTGGTTGACATGTCATAATGTGTGTCTTCAGAAGGAAACTGTGGCTGTGACTGTGACCACAAGGATCAGCCCTAGATCCTTGGCCAGTATCCAGGATGATGACTGAATCCTCAAAATCAGACATAGGTAAAAATAATGAGTACAACTTTTGCCCCTACAATAAAGTAGTTTGGGATGTACATAGAGATATATAGAAATGTTCATCAAAGGGTTCTTTGTTATAATGAAATTTTAGAATAAAAGTCCAACATTAAAAGATGAATTGACTCAATAAATTATGGAAAATAATAATTTGAGGAATTTGGGAAGTCACCGAAATGTTTAAGCAGAGAGTGATCTTCCTGGATTTTCATTTTAGAAAGACAACCCTTTGCTAAAGAAGAGAATAATTTGGAGAGAGGCAAGAATTGGAAAGTGAGTAATACCGGCAGCCTGGATTACGGTGATAGAAGTGAATATAAAGAGACATACTTGAGAACCTTGAGAAGAAAGAATTGGAAGGACATCATGATTGATTAGATGTGGAAGTTGAGAGAAAAGTTCCCACCAGTCAGACATTAATCATACCACTTTAAGGTCTTTCCACACCTTTTTCTCTTCAGGGCCCTTCATGTGTGAACCTATGTCACTCACAGCACAGCCTTAGGAAATATTATCAAACAGAAAAGTCTCTCTTCAGGGTCCCTGGTCTCCCTTTGCTGCGCCCTAGCCTCCCTCCTTCATCTTCTCTGCCTCCTTCAAATTTAGACACCAGTGTTCTCTGGTGTTGGTGGAGTCTGAGAAATCAAGATCGGGAGTCAAGCAGACTCGATTTTTAATTCACTCCTGCCATTTTCAACTATGATACTGGGCAAGTTGTGAACTCATTAAGCCTGTTTTTATTTTTATAAACTAACATAATAGTGCATACCCCATAAGAGTACAATAAGTAAAACACATCATACATATAAATCACCTAGCAGTGTGCATGGCATAGAAGAAGTACTCAAAAAATAATTGTTATTAATGTAACATCCAAGGAAAAAGAATAATTTTAATTTATATCTTTACATTGTTTAAAGTCAGATGGTTTCTTCTTTCAGGAGTATTTGTTTTTCACCCTTGCCTCTAATGATGAAATGATAGACTTTGGCTATGACAATTAACAGAAATCTGTGGCAAAAGCCTAAGGTGGAAACCGGGCCCATTCAATACTTTATCATCTCCTCTCTAGCAACTACCTCCTCACCTTTGCAGACACAATCTAGAAGCACAGTCCTATAAACAAGAGAACTCTATCCCTGCTCTTCATGCTTCTGCGTTGTGTTCTCACCAAACTGCTGCATCTGAGTGGGATATTTAAAAGAATCCATTTCCTCCTGGCTAAGCAACCATGGGCAAGATACCTAAATGTTCTAAGCCTCAAGGGTTTTTTTTTTTTTTTTTTAGGTTTTTTTTTGTTTTTCTTTAATCTGCATTCTGAAACCAACAGTACCAAAAAGAGATATTAGATATTAGATAATGGACAATTGGGTAAGTCAAAGACTTAGCATGGGGTATGGAAGTAATAATAAATGTTTGCATTGTTATTAGTAGTATTATCTCTTTTAACTGCGTTCTATGGCTTCTCTCTCCACTTTCTCTACTGACACATATATTCTGACAATACGCATTTCACATTATTGAGTATTCACCTTGTGTAAACCTTCCCAAATATACACTAAAATATTGTAATTCCACAAGTAGCTACTTGTTGAAGAAACTTGTGATTTATAAGTTTTTGTCCTTCTATTACTAGTATTCTCTTTATCTAGGCTTTTAATTTGGTACGGTTTCTCTTCTAAGATTTGCTATCTCCTTTTTCATTATGATCATGCTTTCCTTACCCTTGATCAAAAGTATAAGAGCCACTTAAAAATTCTTGTCTGATTGTGCCAACTTCCAAACATCTTGGGATCAGTCTCCAGTGACCTTTTTTTTTTTTTTTTTCACTCCATCTTGGGAAGGGCTTATATTTCCCTGTTTCTTCATATGTAAAGTAACCTTGGTTGTGCCTTGGATATTAAAAAGATGTTATAGAGACACTGGGCTCAGTTATGTTTCCCTAAAGCATATAAACTTTTAAAAATGGAAGCATTAATTATATAGCAAAATACTATGGGACAAAATGGATTTTTTTTCCCTCTCCCTTCATCTCCTTCCCCACCATAACGCATACTCAACTCCTTTTGGGACCAGGAACAGACCAAGCTAGGGTTAAAAAGTAAGTCAAGGGGCGCCTGGGTGGCTCAGTCAGTTAAGCGGCCGACTTCAGCTCAGGTCACAATCTCGCGGTCCGTGAGTTCGAGCCCCGCGTCGGGCTCTGGGCTGATGGCTCAGAGCCTGGAGCCTGCTTCCGATTCTGTGTCTCCCTCTCTCTCTGACCCTCCCCCGTTCATGCTCTGTCTCTCTCTGCCTCAAAAATAATTAAAACGTTAAAAAAAAAAATTAAAAAAAAAAAAAAAAGTAAGTCAAGCTGGGGCGCCTGGGTGGCTCAGTCGGTTAAGCATCCAACTTCAGCTCAGGTCATGATCTCATGGTCCATGGGTTTGAGCTCTGCATCGGGCTCTGTGCTGACAGCTCAAAGCCTGGAGCCTGCTTCAGATTCTGTGTCTCCCTCTCTCTCTGCCCCTCCCCTGCTTATGCCCAGTTTCTCTCTCTCTCTCAAAAATAAATAAACACTAAAAAAAAAAAAATAAAAATAAATTTTAAAAAGCAAAGCAGGTAATATTTGACTGAATTCGAATTTCAAACACTGGAATACAATTTTTTTTTAGCCTTAGGCTACCTGGGGTCTTCTCTGAGCATGTATGGTTCAAGAGTCAACCAGAGATTTGCAAGAGTTTAAATAAAGAATTTAAAGCTTCTCCTTTCTGGGATTTTCCTCTCCTACTTTCCAGATACAATGATCACCAAGGACTCCTCTGGCCTTCCAAGCTAACAGGACTGAGGTTTTGTATCTGAGCTTTCAGCTGTTCCAAGTACTGCCAAGGGACTGCAGCCTGCCCTCAGGCTAAAAGCTCAGAACAATGGGAAACTCAACCAAGTTGCTACAGAGATTTCCGTTCACTATCTGCCGGCTTTTCCTTACTCTTAGTGCCTTCATATATCTGCAGTTTGTATTTTGTCCACAATTCATTATTTTTACCTCTGAGAGTACTGGTCTGGCAGGAGCTGTGCAGGCTTGCTGGAAGTAAATTCCCTGGTATTAGTTATATCTCTCAAATAGAATAAAAATCCATAATAAACTTTTTAAAAAGAAATAAAAATAATCCAAATGTTACCAGTCTAAATATTCACGTTTTCCCTTCCCGT